CTGTGGTCGCCACGGAGAAGGCGCCTTCGCCAATCTGAGACTCGACGCCGTCGAGTGAGCCGTGGTCTGAGAGGAGAACGGGCGCAGAGCGAGGGCCGAACGACGGGATTCAGCCAAGCATCTCTGGCGCAGGAGGGCGGACGTAGCCTGCCCGCAACGAGCGGCGAGAACCATTGCGCGCTGCGCTGATGGAAGCGAAAATTAAGGTATGAGAATTGGGGGGGAGGGAAGGGAGGTGCGATGAGTCAATTGAGAGAAATACACTCTCAATTGCTGGTCTGGAGGTTCCGAACAAGGACAAACCTGGAGACTCCGCTTTTTTTTATCCGGCTCTCCTTGGGGCTGGTAGTGTCCCGCTTTCTGCCACACGCCCAAGTCACAAGGGGAGGACTCAAAAGGGAGGGTATATGTCCCGACAGGATTGTCTAGGGAGGGAGGGAGAAGAGATGTGAAGACAAAGAAGCAAAGAGAGGAAGAGAAGGGATGAAGCGGAAGAGACGAAAGAAAAAGGCTCCGTCGGGAAAGGCGATGAGTCAATGCGGCACTTCTCCTCTGAAGGAGGGAGTCATGAACCAGCGCCAATTGCAGTGGAGAGACCCGAATGAGTCGACCACAATTCCCGAAAGTACAAAAAACTCCCCCAACATTCAGGGCCGATAAGAGCTCCGGTGTGCGGAGCCCTCTTTTTTTTTCCCTCCTTCTGTGTTAGAGGCAAGGAAACAGCCACTGGAACGCTGGCCGATCTCGCCTTCTTAGTGGCCAATGACTTCACCGCTCCCATCACTAACCAATCAGCAAGTGCGAGGGTCGGCAACCGGAGTACGGGGAGGTGCAGCGACGCAGATGGTCGATGGGTCTTGACCCCATTAGTGCCATAGTCTAACTGCCTACTAAAAACCACTAGCAGCCGTACTGTCCAGACTGGAGCACAGTTGCCTGCGGTTAGCAATACCGATCACTAATATCCTGGTGTGCTGATAATGTTGTCCAGGGGTTAGTTGCACTGATGGATCTCGATCCCTGGCGAGACAACAGAATGGTTCACAGTCATTGGAGCAAGCCTTGGTTCCTATAGGATAATAATTATTCAATCAGTATTAGACATCACTTAGTCTCCTTGTCCTACAGCCGCCAGCTGGTGTAACCCATCAGCCGCGCGTTAGGTGTAAATCCTACCGGCAAGTTTTGCAAGCCTAATGCTAGACTAGTGAGCGTGGGCGTCTTAGCAGATCAATGCTCTTCTGGTCTCCGCTTGCCGGCTAGGTAGGGCTCGCTTGCACGCTAAAAAAAAGTATGGCCAACTATGCCAAGGAACGAGGACTCATCTAAGCTTGAAGCACCGGCATTCGGAGGTTATCCACGTCTCGGGGTCAACCTACATACACTCACACTTTCCCGCCTGCTCGATTTATGCTAGGTCATATTCACCCTAGTCACTAACTTCCACAGTCGCACTGCGACTGTTGACTCTCTGATTAATGATATAGCCGTCACTCCCCGATTCCTATAGTGCCCTTGAGACCAGCCCACGGACCATTAGGTTGTGCTTCACGCTGTTCTAATTTGGTTCGAGATCTAGTCACCCGTCCATGGTCTTGTTTTTCCTTTTGATCATCTCCCATGATGCTCTCATCATTTTGATTGAGCATTCGAGCAACAGCCTCTAGTTCCTGCTTTGCATTCTGAACTGATTCATTCCCTTCGGCCAGCTTCTGTTCCACATGTTCATACTCGCTGGCTCCTGCTTCGTCGGATGCAAATGCCCATGCTTCAGCCAGAGAAATTACTTCGTCCTTCTTGGTAGGCTCAGCGAAGTTGGTAGCATGACGCAAGGATGCAGTCGCTGCTGCGCGACTCGAACGCGGCTGATCCGCAGGCATTGGAAACTCGGGAAGGAGATGACTCTCGTCTCTCAGGCGATGGAGCACGCGGAGGCTTGTAGCTCTCTCCTTGCCAAGTAGGCCGGATAAGTAGAACTTCTGTAAGGCAAGTGCCCGTTGGCTTTTCGAAAGCGGGAGAAGATTTTTTTCGGTATAGGAAAGCACATCCATTGGGTTCAACGATTGCGGCTCCGGTGGCGCATCGTTCTTCTGAGTGATAGTCGTAGAACAATTTGAAAGGGACACAGAAGGTACTGCAAGAGGCTGACATGCTCTAGAGGCGGCATCTAGCAGAGCCTTGCGGGCCTCGACATACTCGGCATATTGCTGTGCAACCTCCGCTTTCTGCTCCTCAAATAGGCGCGTAGATTCCTCGAGGTCTTCGGGGGCCAGATCCAGCCTGGATCCACTGTCTTCGTGACTGCCAGCACTGACCAATTTCTCCTCCACCCAATGAATCAGTTCATCACGTGTTTGTTGTAGGGCGGCCGTTCTGACAGCTGGCGTGATGTTACTTGACAGGGAATTTTCGTCAAGGTTTACTTGTGCCTTCAACTCCTCCAGTAGCTCTTTTTCCCTGTCAAACTGGGCTTTCGCTTGAATAACTGCCTTCTCCAATCTGTGCATCAACTCCTCAACTCTATCCCCTGCATTGGATGATGGTTGGGTTATTTCTTCCAGCAGCTCTGGCGGCACTCCAAGCTGTTTGTGGCTATCCTCGAAACTTTCAGCTCGTCTTCTGTTTCGTTCCCTAAGCTCCTGTGAGTAACGTTGGAACACTTGCAGCTTTGCAAGTTGGCGACGCTCACGGAGGAGATTGACATATTCGCTTAGGTCCTGAGAAGAATCGCATTGCGGTGCTTCGGTTGCTTTCTGTTGTTGCTGTTGTTGCTGCGACTCATATGCATTTTGCTTCTCTACAACTGCTTGATATTCCCTTCTCGCAGCAATGTTGGCTTGTAAAGCTTCCAAGTATTGCCTCCGCAGTCCAGTAATCTCCGGTGGGATGGGCTTCACGCCGACAATTGCGTCATGAGGTACAGAAAGGGTGAGGTGCGAGTTGGCATTGAGTTCGGGGTTGTCGGGGTCATTCTCTGCGAAGATGATGTGCGAGCGAACATAGGCAGTCAAGGCTTGGCGGATACGGAAGGCCTCCTGACGGCTTTTGAGGTAAGGGGCAAGTGGTGCGGCGAATTCAGGAATAGGCTCACTTGAGGGTGGTGCGAAGCAATCTTCCATTTGGGTCCAGGCATGTGGGGGAGTGATGGGTAGGAAAAGACACTGGATGATGCTAGTGGTGATCTAATGTGCGGGTTGTTTGTGGAGAGCTGGGACCGAGGGATTGGGGACGCACTGGAGTTGTGCCCGCTTTTTGTATTCGGCCCGATACAGTGCCGCACCGCCGCACCACCGCACCACCGCTTATTTGCGATCAGGGACAGCCCATGGACCGAAGCGTGGCTCTGGCGGCCCCGCAATGTTCACAGCAGGGGAAACACAACACCATATGTCAACGCTGCAGACAGCAACTTCACGAGACATGGCCTCCAAGGCAAACGATTGAGTGAACAATCTCTTTGTATCCATTCCCGAGCCTACGGACAAAAATGGCAGGATTCAAATCACGGTTTTCTTGCGGTATTGCAGATATATATTATGTAGGCAAAGGGAGGGGAAGGGGAGGAAGTCGAAATTGAGGGGGGGGTTTATACTCTACCGAATTTCCCGATGTGGGAAGAACCGACCGGTCGCCATCACCAGCAGCATTCATGCCTCGAATTCTGCAGCACTAAGACAACATGCCCCCGGCTTCAAACCCGAGGCTCTTTGCTATGCTATTTCACCTCAGGGCAGCTTCTACTACGTCCTTTGGCCTCCGACCATTAGGCCTGGTACTTATGCATGTCAATTACGAGGGGGAAAAATAAGTACCATACCAGATACCAGATTGCGCATGCAGGAAGAGCTGCACTCGTGAATGGACTCTTGGGGCGCAATGACCCCTCTAGCATAAACAGCCAGGCTACTTAAGATATCAGTCTTAACCAACCGACCGGTAACTTATGGCACTCGCATCACTAGGCGGTAGGTACAATTTAACTAATGTACTTTACGTATAGATCCTGCTCGCTAAACGCGCTTCAGCCCAGCTAAATGAGACTCTTAGTTACTGGTCGTGTTCGTAAGAGGGTGATTTCCCCCCCCCCCCCCTCCGTTATCGTCATAATCTCCGTACTGGTAGTTAGCAAGATGGGTGATGTGACAGCACAGACTGGGTGCCTTAAGTGGGCCTCGGGTCTGTTAGTCGAACCAGGTATGCATGTGGGGGGCCAGGGGACCTTTGGTGGATGTGAAGTATCCAGAATCCATTCAGCTTTCGTAGAACAAGTGACATGCAAAAGAGCGATATACATATGCACCACTCTAATGATCAACCAGTTCGATACACAAGATGTTCAAGGTTGATGAAGGTCGAGTAATAAATAGGCTTGTGTGGTGGTGCATTGCGTGGACACCCGGAGGATCGATGACCATTGGATGATGATAGAAATTGATCCATGTCCATACAACTTATGGATCACCGCTGATCAATAGCGACCATAGTCTGACGCATTGTAACTTAAGTTACCTTTCGCTCTAAAGTAATACCTGTACCCGTAAAAACTTTCGGAGATGTCAAAACAATGAACAAGAAATAAATCAACAATGGAACCATGATTCTAACCAGTTAAGCGGCATGAGACAGGTTCCATGCAATCCGAACAACTCGTCTTGTCCACATCAGCTGAAAGATTCTGGTTGCAAATCAACGGTGGTCCGGGGTGTGGAATGTTTCAAAGGTCCAATCAAGGGGCTGCTATCCTGCAGGCTGGCACTTTTGGCCAAAGCAATCTAAACAAGTGAATCGTTGTCCGCCGCTACCAACTTACCATATTTACTTCTCTCATCTGCGGATAAAGCCTCTCTCCTCATCGCACTCCACTCATCAACAGACTCCTAGAAACTATCCGGGTTCTCTTTTGTCTTTCTGTTCTCCTGTCTTTCTTTTACTTCTTGATTTGTCCCCACTAAGGTCGCTTTCGTATCGCTCATTCTACATCGATTCAAGTCACTCCGATCATGACCATAGAATCGAGCTCCGTCGCTATATCTACGCCCAGATCCCGGCCCCGTGCTGCAACGACTGTGCAACCAGCTCCCACCTTTCCCGCGTCCCTTTCTTCCCGACGCTCTTCACAAGTCATGGCCCCTCTTACGCTCTCGCCTACTCTCAACGCCTCAGCAGCAAGCCCGATGCCGGCCGCTGGGGATCAAGAGACTTCACGGGCAGCCGCAGTGTCTGGTAAGTCGGGAATACCCAAACAAAGAAAAATCAATTGTCAAGGAACCTCGAATTGAGCGAAAGGCAGGCCCACTACGTCATCCCAAACCGCTGACCCCCTCCGATATCCATTCGATGTTGGAGCAAGAGCAAGAAGCAATGGTATGAAGCTCGGCGTCTTGTGCAAATCCTCTAGATACTGACCCGCTTGTTACCATAGGTTAATCGGCTATCGAGAGAACTCTCTCTTCTTCGCCAACAAACAGCCTCGGTCGCATCGACAACATCATCTACATCGACTACACTCAACGATCCTATGGACTCTCTACACGCCTCCCAGTATGCCATCAGCTCCACGGTTCCGACGACTTCGCGCCGACATCGCTCCTCTTCCAGCCTCAGTTCTTCCTACATCCCCGCGGTTCAAGGGTCGCGGACGGGCAGCGGGTTCGGAATCGCACCGTCGAGGGAGACACAGCTACCGTCGACCCGCACGGACTCGGGTAGGAGTCGAGAGCCGTCGCTCACTTCTCGACAATCGGACGCAGCATTGTCACAGCATCACTTGCCGTCGACCGATCAGCTTTCACCCTCCATAGGAGGTTTCCCTTACCGGAACTCGATCACTCAGCAGAAGAGCCCGGTTATTCCTCCCTCCCGCCACGAGGAGCTCCTAGCCCAGCGGGAAGAGGTAGATATGCTGAAGCGGGAGAATGAGACTCTACGTCGCCGTGTGCGGGAACTAGAGCTGATTGTTCGAAATTCTCGAGAACAGGAGCGTGCTACAGACCACTCCATTCCTGATACAGCGCGTTCCGGCGGAGAACAGGGGAGGGAGATACTAGATTCCGAGAATTGAAGCAATTTCGCTTCTGGTGGTATGACTCGGTCTTTCCATGCTGGAGTTTCCAAGAACAGTGTTCTTCATTCAGCTGGCCAGGTGCTCAATCATCAATCCAATGGATTATTCTTCTCAGGCGTACGTGGCTTTGGGGATTGGAATCCTAGAACTTCTCCCTCATTTCTTCTCGTCTTGCCGTAGGTAAAGTCTCGAAGGAGTTGAGTCGGGCAAAAATTGTACTGCAGGTACTCATAGTATCCCAAAACCTACCCGATCTATCCACGATGGATCCACATTCGTTGAGTTTGAGTTCGATTGGCCAGGGACCCACTACTTTGTTCCAATGGGCTTATTTCTATTGGAGAGATATGTGTCATCCGGCTGCGAGGCATTGAGTGTCCACCGTGAACTCCCAACGTACTATACCGGGTGTGCTCAGCGATAGGGTACCTACAATCCCATACTTTTCGAATTCAAGAGATGCCCTTAGCTAGACTTGATCACAACCCGTGATTCGCAAATAGCTCAACATGATGGAATACCACTACTCCTTGCTGAACAAGCATGGAGCCGTGAATTCTATGTGTAAAACCTACCAAGGACGTCGCCTTCAATCTGTCCTGCCATTTATCTTCCCAAGAGTCAAAGGCAGCTAGGTGAAATTCCTCAGCACCAGCGGAGGCTAGCCGTTGATCTCTATTTAGATCTATACTCTGGATGCTCCTTTCATGGAAGACAAGGACCCAACCATATAACCTATTCTGCCCACCTTCTATTCTCCCTTCGTAGTCCTGAGGCTGATACCACTTTGCATGTTATAATCTCTCCTTCGGAAGATCAAACCTATATCATGGGATGGATATATACAGAATATCAAGCTCCGAGCATCGCAGCGGTGTCTGACCCGGGATCTGAACCCGGGATCTTGTATAGGTCTCTATCAATAACTTTTAACAAAGGCTGATTAACTAATTTTCCTATCAAAGTATGCCAGGAGACTGCTCCACAAGCCACCCGGCTGATGAAAGGCCTTGATACAGAAGACTTCAGGTAATACTGGAGTACCAAGTAGCGTGCAATATGTGCTGTTATCAAGACCTTCGATTTCTTGTTTGAGGTGATTGCGGATCAAAGGGTTCCGCACCTGATAGAGTATTCTTCAGCCTTATCTCAAGATATCTGAACAGACTTATGGTGCAAGTCCTAGAGCAGAGTCTGCTCAAAGGGAGAAGCTTATATCTGTCTTGATATGATTTACGTAACTTTCTACTAGATGTATTGATACTCGAGATAGTGTTCTTGGCTGAGCAAGATGTGTGAAGGCAAGCTGATCCTTAGGACTGGGGCAATTGTCCTCAACTTGAGTTGTATAACTTACAATATTTAAACAAGCTCCTGGCGGTTTCCCAGTCGAGTCCATCATCACTACCTCTGCAAGAATTTTTCTCACGCCTGGAACTCTCTCAATGAAATTCCATCTGGGTCTAGTCGCCTTGACGGCATTGGCCGCCGGTTCCACCACGCTGCCAAATGGCAGAGTCCGCCAACGAAGAAGCCTGAGTGAACAGGCCAGTTTTCTGACCACGATAACGCCCAGTAACCAGACTGTGGCGGAGATCGTCGCGGGTTGGGACCTCGAAAACCTGACTGTGGCGGCGGTGCGCGTCCCACCGGTCAACTGGCCCCTTCCCATGATGAACAAGGGTTGGGATGGGGTCAAACTTGACCTGAACGGCACCGTCGAGCTGGGGATCCGTCTGATCCAACAGGCCGCTGCGGCGAATGCCCGTGTCATTCATTTCTCGGAGGTTTGGTTCCCCGGTTATCCTAAGGTTAGTTGAGATAGAAACCGATCTAAAACTGTCCTCTCATGTTGATAGGGCTGACGCTTCGCCAGGGTATTATCAACTCCAATGTCCCGAGCCCCTGGTTCGAATACCACGTCAAAGATTACATCGAGGACTCCTTGGTGGTCGGCAGCGACAACTGGAACAAATTGGTGCAGGCGGCGGTTGATAATCGCATCTACGTTGTAAGCTCTGAGTTCTCTTTTCACTTTGTCACCACTCCCGGTGTCAGCAGACTCTGACCCTTGTGCCAATTTGTTAGGGACTCTCATTCTCCGAGAAAGATGCCGCCCATCTGTACATGGCGCAGTCTCTACTCGCCCCCGACGGCGAGATCCTCATCCACCGACACAAGCTGCGGCCCTCGGCCCAGGAGCGCGACCTCTGGACGGACGGCAAACTCGACCAGATCTACGCTGTCAGCACCCCCATCGGCCGCATCGGCATGCTCTCGTGCGGCGAGCATACTGCCCCCGAGGTCACCTTTATCATGCAGTCGCAGACTGAAGACATCCATCTTGGCTCGTGGCCGTAAGTTCTCTCTCATATCCCAATTTGCCCCGTCCACCTTCCTTGTACCCAGTTGTTGACTTTTGTGGACGAGGGGGAAGTCTCGTCCCGGATTTCGGCAATTCCAGCCTGACCTATGAGTCAGCTGAGGTTATCACGTCCTTGGGCCGGGTTTATGCAATCCTGGGGGAGGCGATTGTGGTGCAGGCGGCCATCGGTACAGCCACCATCTTCCCTGCAGGGTCTTCGGCAGTCTGGTCCCAGGCTGTGGCCAACGTTTCCTTCACCGACCATCCGCTCGTCTACCGCTCGTTCAACGCCAGTGCCTTTACGAATACAACTTATAACGCTGATGGGGAGGTCTCGTGGGGCACCCTGCAGGCCATCAATGAGGGGTTTCCTGAGTATATTCCGCAGGTCGAGGGTACGTTGGTGCCCTGGAAGCAGGATCTCATTTCCATTTTGCTCAATGAGTCTGTCGTTTGATGGTCCAAGCTTCGCGAGTGGGACTATCGAGGAATGCAGTAATTGATCTACTATCGTGTCGCGCAGGAGCTGCTGCTGTAAAGACATCGATCTTTCTTTTCAATTCGGCATTCTCACGCATGAGAGTCTCCAATATTCCCTGTCGACAAAGACACGTCTGGTCCAGCCCAAGTCCGTCGTTAGCTTCCAGAGTCCATTTAACCTGGAATGCCACACATTCATATTTATCGTGTCCTTACTTCCTTCGTAACGGTCGTTCAGAGTAGTAGCACTCTCAGTCGAGTCTCAAACAAAGACTACATGCCGATTGCGCTCCATCGCACTATCTCCTCGCCCACAAGCCTCCGCATCAGAATTGATTCTGCCGGCCTCTGAAGCCTTAAGATGGATGGGAAAACCTTTCGCTTGCCCTTTTTGCAAGGCTTGCAAGCCTGAGTCACGCGCCTGGTTTTACTAAGACCAGAGTTGACCTCCATGAGATCACAAGGAATAGTGTAACATGAGTGTTGTATAGTGAAGTTGTCTGTTTACCTCTGAGTGGTCAGATGTACAGTACTTACGGTCTCATTGCCAAGCTAGGACGAATTGGGCACGGAGTAGTTTTTCTCCTACGTTCCAAATCGCATAGTGTACCTATCGATTCAAAGATTCTTCTGGTGGAAAGATAACCTGCTTGACGGGATCCCAAGGATAATCAGTTATCAGTTAGGTACTTGAAATTATCCACCCTCTTCCACGTCTAACAGTAGTTACTATCACAGTCCTGAAATCAGTCATCATGAATGTGTGTACGTATAATAGTAGCTAGCTATATATAGGAGATAAAGGAGAAATAGGAGAGAAAGATGGTTTCACATGCGGGTCCAGCGTGGCTGTGCGGGGTCGCTGCCTGCTGCTGCCCCTCGCGCGACGTCATTTGTGGCGTAGTGCCGCCCGCTCTTCCCCCCAAATAAATAACCACCAGCTCCTCCTCTCTCCTTTCCAGTTCCCTTCAACACTACACTGACTCTGATTTACTCGTATCACTCAACCGAGAATTATACCCGACGGATACTCTCTCAATTCTACGTACCTCTACCTCAAACACGTCCATCATGTCTGAGCGCTCTACTGTTCACGTCGAGGGCATCGCCCCCGCTACTACGGATAAGGAGGTCCAAGACTTCTTTAGCTTCTGGTCAGTGACGCAGGCATTCCAGGCCCTTGCATAAGACATGCAGCTGACAACATTGCAGTGGAAAGATCACTTCTATTTCTGTTACCCCTGTGTCTGGTGAAGAAGGTGCCCAGAAGTCGGCCACTGTGACCTTCGAGAAGGAAGCGTAAGCCTTGCCCCGCACCTGCTCCCCCATCCCGCCCATGGCTCAAATTGCACCATCCCTTAGCTTAGCTGCTCTTCCCCCCACCCCCTCTCATGACATAACTAACCCGTCATCTAGTGCCGCAAAGACCGCTCTGCTCCTTGACCACACCCAATTGGGTACCTCGGTCGTTCACGTCAAGGCCGCCCACTCTCTCGATGATATCGCCGGTGACCACGCTGCCAGCGCCTCTGAGGCCAAGGACGAGCACGACCATGACCTCGAGCAGGAGGACAAGCCCCGCTCCCGCATCGTCGCCGAGTATCTGGCCCAGGGATACGTGCTGAGCGACAACGCCATCCAGAAGGCTATCGCCCTGGACCAGAAGCACGGCTTCACCTCCCGCTTCACCAACGCCCTGGCCAACTTCGACAAGAAGTACAACGCGACCGACAAGGCCAAGGGTCTGGACGAGAACTACAAGATCACCGAGAAGGCGAGCTCTGGCTGGCGCGGTCTCCACAGCTATTTCGAGAAGGCCCTCGAGACCCCCTCCGGCCGCAAGCTCCGCGAGTTCTATTCCCAGACCGACAAGCAGGTCCGCGACATCCACAACGAGGCTCGCAGACTGGCGGACTTGAAGAGCGGCAAGAGCGAGGGTGACGAGCAGAACGTCAGTGCCGCCCCTACCGCTGGCGCTGGCGCCGAGGGTGTGGGTGCCGCCCCTGCTACTGCTGCGGCTCAGTCCTCTGGCACTGCCCCCTCTGCCGACCAGAAGGCATGAATCTGAAAAGGAGATTTAACCCCTTCTTTTCTGTCTTGTACGCCTAATGACGACCTGTTCATACACATGCTTGAATTTGCACGTTCTCGATGTTCATAATATTATCTCGGCGCCCGTCTTAGCTAGTTAGTTGTCTGGAACAAGCGATTGTGTGTATTGTCTACATCTAATTGAATTATGGTGGTTTAGTCTTGAAGCTACTGTCCGTTCCGCCCAGTACGTGGGATATCAGCCTTAGTTCGTATGCGAATACTCAAAACAAGTGCAACAGCCCGCATGTTATGTTTACATTTATTAGTTGCTAATTCTAATCTACTTTTACCCATTTGAAGATATCTCCATATCTCACGCCAACAAACCACTCAAAACCACGTAGAAACAAACCCAACTACACCAGATAAACAGTTACTACAATCGAAAACTACAACCCATGAAAAGTTGATCTCAGATGATGAAAGTCTTCATTTCATTTCTCGCTTCAAATCATTAAACTAAAAAAGAAGTTGTTTCGTCACGGAACATAGAATTCAGCTGCCCTTGCTGAACTTGGCAGACTCGATATCCTCCAAGGGATGCTTGGGGTTGCTGCTCAGCGACGACTTGGTGTTCTCGGACTGCTCCTGGGCGGCCTGGCCGGGGCGGGTCTCGTAGGTCTGGCCGGTCTGGCCCTGGGACGGGGGCGATTGCTGCTGCGCGCCGGTCTGGGATTCGGGAGGGGGGGATTGGCGGCCGGAGTTGGGGGCGGACATTTTTGATGATGGTTGGATTTTTTTGGGACGTAGGAGAGGAGGGTTTGGGTTTCTGAGCATTGCGGGGAATTGTTAGTTGAGAAGGGTTTCTTCAGTGATTCGTCGATTCTGTGAGATGAAGATGAGACGGACCTTGGTGGTGGACTGGATTGGGTTGGATTCTTTCAGAGAGTCGGGGTGTGTGTAGTGTAGTTTGTTGCAGGTCAGGTCGGGGGTGCGAATTGGGTGGTGGAGAGTTCTTAAGTACTGTATGCTTATGCTAGCTAAGCTAAGGGATTTACTGACTATGATATCGTCGAGGGGGACGGGAAAAGGTGGGTGGCCGGTTTTTCTCAGCCGGCATCATCATGACGTTTTTGGCGGGCTCTTCACCTCTCTGATGTTTGCGGTGGGGGGGGGGGTAATTCAGTGAGTTTCCACCCTCCCAGTAATGTGATCTAGTGGGCTTGGTGAGGAGGTTTCAAATTAGCTATAGTGGTTAGTGGACAGGAGTACTGTACTCCTAGCCCCTGTTTGTTGATAGCTGGCTTCACCGGCGAGCGTGGCTTTGCTGTACCTTGACTATACTTACGAGTAGTTACTGTTGCTGCTGGAAAATTAGTAGTGATGTCATAGTCGAGTGGGTGGAATTTGCTATGTTTGTCTTAGGCACGTGATCAGGATGTGTGCGAACAAGTACTCGTAGATCGTAGTTAATGCCAAATATCATTCCAAATGGACAGACATGGTCTAAAGAAGTGTTTCGACAATCGCCATAGACCACGCACTTTCTGTATCAGAACAAATATAGAGAATTAGACGATGCCAAAATCAGCATCTTCGCTGGTTTCTATTATCTTTTGGGCTCTGTTTGACTGCTGTTGTCCTCCAAAGATGGAGACTGGATATAAGAATGCATTTTGAGGTCGTGACCGACGTAATCATAAGTCAATTGACAAGGATTCATCTGGGGGAATCAGACATCGGGGCCTTGAGTCATCACTGAGGTCAAGACCGATGAAAAAGGGGACTTTTGGGAGAACCAGAGCAAATCAAATACAGGTCATTGTAACCTTGAGCACGCAGGGGATGGAAAGGGATATGATCTAGGCAACAAAGGAAAGGAGAATCAAGACACAATCAGAAGAGGCATATATGGCGTGGTGGTGTATCCAGCTGAGGCCGTTCGACTGTATTGGGTGTCGAAGTGGCTCGGAAGAAACATAGATGGCTTGTCAAAACAGTCCTCCAACCTGGGATGGCACTTTTCTTTTGCATAAGTTTGTTTTTTTTCTCTGAGTCATGTCATTGCCTTAGGAATCCAGAAGGACCGACTGGTTCATTTCGTCAGTCCCCGGAGTGGATTGCAGTATGAATCAGTTTCCATTAGCCTGGGCGCCTGCAGCTTCGGCATTTGCCGCAGCCAACGCCTTCGCATCGGCTTCGTGGAAAACGGCTTGGAGCACCTGCTGCTCCTCCGGGCTCAGGATCTTTGTCAGGTTGTCGTAGAGTTGCGGCTGTTCTTGTTGAAGGCCTGTGTTGTGAAATTAATCAATAGTACAACGTGACACCAAGGGGCTACATACTCAAGAACACATGCTTGAACATGCCGTAAGGCTCAACCTTGTCAAGAGGAGTCTCCAGCAAGCTTCCTTCGTCCAGCTCATCATCGTCATCATCGGCAAATGAGCCGAACTTTTGAGCCTATCGATGTGATTAGTATCCCCATCGAGATATTAGGACGACAAAAGACTCAAGTCTCCTGGACTCACCTCCTTGTTCAAGAAATCGAGGTAAGCAGTGGTCTCGTCGGCAACGTCATCTTCCAGAACGCCTTCGGCTTCATCCCGCTCAGTCCACTCAACCTCTCCATCCCAGTCGTTCTCCTCGTCATCGACATCATCTTCGTCATCATATGTGAAATCGGACTCCTTGGTGGCATCTTCACGGTCTAAATGAGTATTAGCGTACTTGATCTCGCACCATCATTCTGTTGTAGACTTACTCTTGATAGCAGCAGGCAGGGTTTGGAAGAGTCGGGTCACTCCTTGGAGAAGTCTAGGCCAACCTTGTTGAACGCTGGTCGGGACATCGCCAGCCTTCAGGGTCAATAGGGAGCTGATTGCTGCAATCGACAGCTTCTTGTCATGCACCCGTCTGAAGTTGTCGATGTTGGAGAACCATGTGCTGAAGAACTTGTTCGTCCAGCCATTGGCTTCCAGCACCTGTAAGCTGAGAACAGGGTTGTAGTAGATGGCGTTGATGACCATCTCCATCAAGTGGATGCGGTACGACTTGGTGCGCGCCTCGCCGGCGTCAATGACACGCATCGCGAGCTCGATAAAGACCGGGATGTACTGATCAATAAAGCCACGCAGGTTGAGCATCAAAGTCTCGGCGAGCTTGCAGCCGCAAATCCGGTCAACACCGCCCACTTTCTCATCGTGGAAGATATCCTGAACCATACCCACAACGGCCGCCAGGTAAGCGGGGTTCTGGACCAGCATTTGAGAGCCGTAGGCGATATAGTTGTCGAGAGCAGGGAGCATGTCCTCAAGATAAAGCTCAGCTCCGGCCTTGAAGGTCTTGTGGATGAGCTCGAAGGCCTGCCACATGGTGGGAGAAATCGACTTAGAAGCAAAGGTGCAGCTATCAATGATCTCAAAAACTTCGTTGTACAAGTCATATAGCTTGTTCTCAAGAGTGATGCTGATGACAGGCATGAGGATGGTCTCGAGGTGAAGCAGCACATCCGGAGTGCTCTCGAGAGTGAGAATCAAAGTGCCAATCGTCTGCAGGACACCAAGAGCCGTGATACTCTTGTCATCCAGGAAGTCGCCGTAAGCGTCCTCGTCACCCTTGGTGGCATTGCGTTCCAGGAGCTCTCCCACAATACGCATGTAGGTGTCGCGAAGCTGCTCGCTGAGTGCCACAGCGAACGGAGTAAGCTCGGCAGAGAAGACCTCGACGAAATCCTCCATGACGTTGGCGAGAGCATCCACATCGACCTCGTTGGCGAGCTTGAGAAGCTGCTGCATGATCTGGGGGATATTTTGCTGCATCGAAGTCCGAATGATGTCGTGACGAATAAGGGGCTGCAAAGCGAGCGCAGCCTCAACCCTGACAGGCAATTCAGGGTCCGTCATGGACTCTAGGATGTTTCTGTAAATGATCATAAGGTTGTTCGGGTCCTGGAAGTCAAGCTGTTCGAACTTCTCCAGAGTATCACATGCACGGGCTCTGAGGAAGCCATGAGGGCTGCGGAATTCTGGGAAAACGTGACGGACAAAGAAGTATTCGACCTCACCAGCGATAGGGCTCTTCTTGCCCAGGATGACAGAGGCCAAAGAACCGATCATCCGCAGAGCACCTTCCTTCTCCCGAGGCGACTTCTGATCTTCCGGAGCAGACTCATACTTGCTAACGACGCCGTTCACAAATGTGAGAATGGCGAAAGTCTGCTTCTTGCGGTTCTTTGTCAAAGCAACCAAGAAATTGGTGGCGGCGACATCAGGCGCCGAAACCTCTTCGTAGTAATTCAACTTCCGGTGGAGGTATTCCGAAGGATCCTCCTGGAATAGCTCGATGTCTTCATCAGACTGGCACAAAATCGGGAAGATGAAGTGAGCAACCAAGTTGTCCATATGGGGCTTGAGGTGGTCCCACATCGCCTTCGGCTTGACACATTCCTCCAAGAAAACCAGAGTGTAGGCGAGCGCCGGGTTGCTGAGCCACTGACCCTTGGACACCCACTTGTCAATCTCCTGCAAGTATCCCTTGAGAATCTCGGGGGCGAAGTTGGCAATAAAGTTCTTGGCATATTGGGTATAATCGGGAGTGCTCGACTTCGTCATTGTTGTGGGGTTTCCGTATCTAGACAGCGAGGTCAGGCGAGAGTCCCGTTTCCAGAGCTGTGCTATGCACGTTACGTACCTGATGAAAAGACGGTTCAGATTGGCGTACGACCACTTCTTGCACTTCCACCAGTGGTTCAACTCTCTTTCTTCCTTGGACTCCATCATAGCATTAGCCGGAGGCTGCTTGGCAATGATGCGCAAGAAGAGCGTGCACCAATCCACCGTAGCTTGCTGCGTTTGAAGGGACGGCGAAAGTTCGAACTAGATTCGTCGCAGATGTTAGCTACCGTGATGCGACTGGTGTTCCGCTCCGGTTGACCCACGTAGATAGCATGCTTGTATGACTTGACAACAATCCGGAGCATTTCCGCAGCTTCCAGACTTTCCTCATCAACCAACTTCGATCCGATATTCAGCAGCTGAGGGAACGTGTGCTCAACGATCTTGTCGAATTCTTCCCGCTTCTCTCCCGCCTTGAACCTGTACACGCGGCAGATCGCCAGCAAGCACTGCAGTCCAGCGTAGACCGAGTTCGCATCGTTGGTTCCCAAGAGTTGAAGGGTGATTTCCAGGAAGCCCGGCCACTGCTCGGGGAAGTCATGCTGAAGAATCTTCTGGAGGAGGGGAACAAGCTGTGCTCTGACATTCGGTGGGGTGGACGCCAATGCCGGGATCAGTCGCTCTCGAAAACTCGGTTTTTCCTCCTCCGGGATCGGTGCGCGCAAAGGGCTTTCTTCGACAACAGACCAGCCGCGAGTGATTCGGTTCTTCAGGTAAACACCGGCTATGAATAGAGGTCTACTTGTTAGTCGATGAACTTAGCGCCTAGGATCCCGAGGGGAAACAGCGGTAGGTGATCTTTCAGGCAGCAGAATGTCCAGGTACTACCTACCCGACAGTTGGACGGCATTATTTTGTTCCCCCTGCAGAATATCCAGAAGCGCATTTATGAAGCCCGGTTGTGTCTCGGCCTGGACAATACTGAATAAGTATAAACCACCTTCAAGCCTGCGACGCTATGCCACACATACATATTTCAAGTCCAACTCAGCTTGGCGTCTGATATCCGCATTGGCGTCGAGGGTAGACTGTATGCGGTCTCTCAAAGCTGCAACATCCATCTCGCACCAGTGACGGCCCCCGGGTTATAGTTATAAAGCTCGAAAAAGAAAGAAAGGACCCGTTACGTAGTGCTGAGCCACGGGATGAAGGGGGAGAAGAGAGAAGAGAGGGGGGGGGAAGGGAGGATAAAATAGCGGGGGAGTAATGATAGTAAGTGTGCAGATTGCAAAAGTGCTCTTTGGGTTTGTTGGGTTTGGTTTGGTTTTCTCTCGTGGTTTTTCAATAAGCGGTGCCCGCCCCGCGCCTATGGCAGCTAATCAGAGGCCTCGCCGCCACGCGCGGTAAGAGAATTTTGCTCCTGATTCTTGGGGCAGAGATCGAAACTGTAAAAAGTAAAAAAGAAAAAAAAAATTCCTTACCCTTGGCTGAGTCTGGAGTATTTAATGGTTCGGAAAGAGAAATGATTGGGAATTCCTGTCTTGGTTTGATTTACCGAGAAGGTCTTATTTACTCTAGTGCTTTGCTCACTCGTTTCATTCCTAATAAATCATTGAACCGCAATCTCAAACATCAAGGGTTTTAAAAAATAGACAATTGCCGTCTCCACGGGCACGTGGTTCTTCCTTCCCCTGTTACATCTCACATGTACAGAGACGCGGCAAAGATAACATCTCTCTTGATCAATTCCTGTGCCTGTTGCATCTTGGCATAGAGGTTGGGGTCTCCCACCAGTTTGGCTGCATTCTTCACCTCCCGACAGGTCTCATCCAGACGAGTGATAGTCCGCACAATAGTGCCTTCCATCACGTCAGTGAGATCGGTGATGCGGTTGAACGACATGCCCTTCGCCCATTCGTAGACAACTTCTGATAGCCCAAACCGCGGCTGACTAGCAAAGTCATTGCTGTCCTCACTGGTCTGAATGACCTGGTGCTGGATCTGAATGTCGTTGACCCTGTCTGAGATCTTAACAATCGCCTCCTTCCCTTTCTCAAGACGCGGTGTCAATGTGGGAACATTCTCAGTCTTTTCCTGGAAAACGAAAGCAGACAGTAGCGCGACAATTTCTTCGGGTTCGTATTCCGCCAGGACATTCTCAAGAATCAGCTCCGTCAAGACCAGCTCATCCGATGAGTGGATCTGAGATCCTTGTTAGCACTATGCCTAAACGACAGCCATGAATGTCTTAGGCAACTTACCTCACATGCTACCTTGCCTTTGAGCTGCACTCGCGCCTGCTCATCTACGAAGCCTAGATCCTTCAGAACCTGGATGCGTTGCTCGTAATCAGGGAGCAGCGCGAGGTTCTGGTCGGACATGAGCTGCTTCAACTGCGAGATATTCTCCTTGACCTGCCACTCATCGTGTTGCATTTCGAACTGTTGAGTGTCAATATATTGCTGTACATTCTGAATTAGAGAAGGCCCTTACGTGTTTCAAGAAGTTTGGACACTGCAGGCATCGGCATGACTGGGCGATCGCCGCTTGTTGCTGACGCTTTTCTAGTATGTCCCTGACCTGCAGCTCCTTAATTCTGGTCCAGTCCATTTCATCCCAGGCTGGTTGTGTCCACGAAGCACAAAACTTCACAAGCTCCTTGTCCGCGAACTTCATTGCCTCTGGTAAGTTGCCATGTTAGTCTGATTTTGCGAAAATAGATCAAGAGCGCGAACCTTTTTTGATGTTCAGGTACCATATCGGGCCACCCAACTTGATCATTGTATTTGTAATGCATTCAAGATCCGTCAATGGTATCTTAGAGGTCTTAAGGGTCATATCTGCGGCACGGGTGGGTAAAGACTGGAACCGATGCCGGAACTCAGGAAGGAATGGAAGAATGTCGCTGGGATGACGCCTGCTGCCGAATCTTCCGATCTCCAGAACCTGTATGGTGGGGGTAGCGCCTCCTCCGATGCCCTCCCGAACAATGATACCCGCCGTACGGAATCCATCCTACAAATTCGGTCAGTCCCGTTAAAGATGTGGGAATGAGTCTCTGCACTTGCCTTTCTGTACACAATCAGCCGCTTCGGCATAAACAAGCGCTTTCCAACTGGCGAGGAAAGCAATCCCACATGAAGTTCACTAGTCAGCTTCTCATACTCGATGGCTGCGTCATGACAGGCCGCGAGGTCGATATCACAGATGTCGCAAGGTTCGCGTTTGATCTTCGCTAAGCTGGCCTCGGAGAGCTGGACCTGCTTCTCATGCTCCGGAAGAAGGGCCTGGGTGGCATTCTCACTGAAGCTCCGCTTGATCATCTCTTCAATCTTCAGAGCTTCTACACGCAAAAGATTCAATATCATGTTATACGTGAGCCTGAATTGAGATCGTAGCTTAGTCGGATCGCCCAAGATCATCCGTCTCAGAGCTCCAGCTGGCGGTGCCTCATCTCTTCCAGGGTTCACGATGATCACATAGCCGACTGTGTCAAGACCTCTTCTACCAGCACGTCCGGCCATCTGAGTGTACTCGCCGGGGAGAAGATCCCGAAAACCTTTACCATCATGCTTGCGGAAGCCGGAAAAGACTACTGTACGAGTAGGTAAATTCAGGCCCATAGCAAATGTCTCCGTGGCAAAAAGTACTTTGACCAGTGACTTGGCAAAAAGAATCTCAACTATCTCCTTCATGATGGGTAAGAGACCGCCGTGATGTACGGCAATACCCCGGCTGAGCAAGTCTCGAAGTCTGAGAATTTGCGGGAGGGTCCGGTCTTCTGGTTTGAGTCTGGTAAGAGACTTTTCAATGAACATGTGAATCAAGCTCTTTTCAGCAGCGGTCGTAAAGTCTTGGTTAGATAGCGAATCAGCATTCTGTTCGCATCGCTTCTTCGAGAAGACGAAGATGCAACCAGGGAGCAGATTCTCCTTCCGCAGATGCTGAACGAGTTGCACCCAGATAGTCTTGTCCTGCGCAGCTGTAGTCCTTCCACCACCACGTCCTGTGCGGGCAATGTTTCCGGTTCCCCTGTTAGCTGGTTGTCCTCTACCACGAGGGGCGCCTCCGCGCTGCGAGTTGCCTCGAGCACCACCTCTGCCAGGAGCTTGTCCGCGCCCTCTACCCTGCGGCGCGCCACGGCTTGCCTGTGACTGGGCTTGGGCCTCAGCTGCCTTCTGGGCTTTGATCTTATCCCTGCCAGAAATGATTTCATCTGCTTCCTTCCAGCCATTTTCAAGGAAACGCTTGTTGGAATCGACAACTTTGTACATCCCTTTCCCAGCCCAGAGATAGTGTTCAAGAGGAACTGGTCTCTTAGGTGTGGAAATGACGTAGATGTCTTTCTTCTTTGTGCGACCGACCCATGATGCAAATTCATAAGTGTTAGGAACGGTAGCAGACAGCAAGATCAGGGTAACGTGCTCCGGGAGCATGATAATGACTTCTTCCCAAACGACACCTCTCTCAAGGTCATTGACATAATGGACTTCGTCAAAAATCACGAACTCCACATCCCTGATAAGATCCGCTCCGCGGTAAAGCATACTCCGTAGAATCTCGGTAGTCATGATAAGGCAGCTTGCTTCAGGATTTATCTGGACATCGCCCGTCAGGATACCTACATCATCGAAGGTGGTCCTGAAATCTCTGAATTTCTGATTACTCAGAGCTTTGATGGGCGAAGTGTAGATGGCTTTGGTCATGTGTTTGGAGGCCAAGGCGATAGCATATTCGGCCACGACTGTCTTGCCAGCCGAAGTGTGTGCAGCAACAAAAACAGAGTCACCGTTCTCCAGATGGTAGACAGCCTCTTTCTGGAAGGTGTCTAATTCGAAAGGCCACTCACGGGCCATATCTGGCACGAGCTCACGGAAGTTCGGGATATCTTTGTTGACATCAACAACATGAGCCCATTCCCTTCCGCTCTTCCTTTGTTGGACACCTGCAAGAAGTGGAGCGTGGGGTTCCAATGCTGGAAATTCAACTGGTAGCAATGAGTCAATAACCTCCTCGTCACTTAGCTCAGCCTCATCGTCGATTTTGACGCCCCCAGCATCGGAAGCCGTTTCATCCTGCTCGACGCCAAGCTCGGTCTCTTCTTGCTGCAAAGCATGTTCCACCTCTTCATCTCCTTGAGCAGCTTCCTTGGACTTTGCTTCATCAAATTTCATTCCACGAGAAAACCCAGGGGCAACCTCTAAGAGACCGCCCTCGGTACCAAAACTGATGATTCGGTCCAGTCCGGACTGCTTGCCACTGGATCTGGAATACTCTGCAACTTTGGGATCCGATTCCATCTCAGCAATCGCCTCGACGCCCTCGAGCCCGCCTGGAGCAAATGGAAAGAACCCTGCTGCACCTCTGACAAAATCCGCACGGCCAGCGGGTCGACGTAGGAGGGACGTCGAGTTCTTTGCATTCGCACTGGTAGCAGGAATAGTGACCTCATGGTAGCTAGTAACACGACCTTCGAGGCCATCACGATCGAATCGAACGACGGTTCGTGATTGAGTTCCCGCAATGTCGAACAAATCTCCATAGTCCGTGGAAACATCCCACCTCCTGCAAGACGTCAGTGCCAATACCAGCCATCCAAAGTAACACATAAGCTGAAGAGAGTTTGGGGAAATGTTCAGAACTGCTACATCTCTTGAGCAAACCTAGGAGAATGGGACGTGCAGATGAATAAACAGAATTATCAGACAGACCTTTGGAGGCGATTCAGCCACTCCGAGCCAAAACGGGCCGATGGATTCAGGAACTCTTGTTCCAATTCTTCCTTAAGATCGGCGGCATTCTGATGATTCCTCTGTCGCGGTTTGGCCTCTCTGTAGATGCCATTTTCCTCGTCGGCCACGCGGGCATCGAAAGCCGATCCGCTTAGCTCTTTTGAGCTCAGACTCAGTTGAGCCAGAGCATCAGATAAGCTTGCAGCTGCAGCCATGATAACTATAGCAAGAATGAGAAGTCTAGGTCAAACCTGCTCCGGCAGCGAACTGGACACCAGGCGCCGGAAGAGTGTTTGTGGGGGCGCTGTGTATGCGAAGAGGCCAATGGGTGAAGCAACAAAACACAAATTATTGAATCGTGCGGCCTAGGAAACGCCAGCCAGTCAAGCGAGCATTCACAGGAGCGGAAGCAGAGCACGTGGATTGTGATTTGAGATGAAGGCTATTAATGAAATCATTCATTATTCGCTGGCGGGTGTTTGGCGGCGGCGGCGGCGGCAGGAAATTGAATGGAAGTTTGGAGTTTGGACAAACCCAACCAGCTCCGTTCGGGTCTGACGTC